AGACTTTTAACCTCAAGTGGTAGGAAAAACCATGAATGGCCTGATAAGGATGCCAGGATGCCTGAAGGCATGGATCTAGGGATCATCAGAGAAACTAGCAAGAATGAACCCACAGAGATATGCTATCAGGATGACAGCATATCCAAAACAAACTCATCAGTCTCAGAAAATACTGTTGTTGAAACAAAGGATGATGGATCCAGACTGGAATCACAAAGAAGGAACACCGCTAATGTCCTGACAGAAGAGGATTCTGGAAGTCAAAGTGACTCAGACCCTGACTCAAAAGGAGTGACATTGATCCTGTGTGGGCCACATACCAGTCCTGCAGATTCTCCAGTGTCTCCTTCAGAAGTGGCTTCACTTCATATGGATACAGAGGAAGATGATTCATCCACAGACATAACAGACAGAAAGCCATCCGACTTATATCAAAGTAAAACATCTGGCAACATCCCAGATAATCAAATATGGAAATTTCCACATTTGCATATACACTCTAAGGGATCCAGCACAAAAACTGCACCTGTTTTAACAGAGGCTGGAATAGCCTATGGAAAAGGCAACATAAACTCTGAAAGCAGTCCAATGTCTGCTCCTATTGCTATAAATAAATCTGACATATGCAATTTACTGGAACAACTAGATACTAAAGAAACAGATATAGTTGAGTTTAGTAATGAGAAAAATAAAGGAACTCTCTGATAAATCAGGAAATACCAATGTCTTTACTATGGACTCATGGCATTCAGAACATTTATTTTAACATCTCACTTATCCCATCATCTACCTCCACGCACACAAAGCACATGATGTGATATGTTTTCAGTTTCTGAATTTTGATTCAGGAGTTCTGAAACACTGATATTTACTGTTACCAATGTGGTTCTGTTATGGGAAAATTCCTCCCTTTCCACCGTTATTAATATTCATTCTGTTTCCAAAACCTACCCATCAGTCAGAAGTCTAAAGATCCACAACTGTTTCTCAAATGTAGCTTGAAACATTTTTGCTCAGGATGTTTCGGCCTTTCACTTCAAATTCATCCTTTTCTTGTTATCATGGATGGCTAAATATTAGTTCCTTTCACTACAAAATCACAATTTGGACACTTTATAAAAATAAGTGTATAACTGCTCATTATCAGAGCCAGTTCCTAACTTTCTATCTGCCCATCTTTAATTAGTGCTGTGATTTTAAATTTGTGATTTTAAATTTGAAACAGAGCCACCAAACTCTTTTCATAGCCTTCTACAATTGAACAAATTGCAGTTTGATTCAAAAACAGGAACTTTGAAAAATAGCAACTATTGGCATAAATATCATGCTGATTACTCATGTGAAATAGGATAGTTGGCTTCATTTTTCTTGGATTATCCTTTGACCTACCATTCTTATTTCTGTTCTTTTTTTCCCCCATTCTAGTTTAGGAAAAAACACTTTTCAG